CACAGGCTTCATTAGCCAAAGATGGAGTCTGGCCCCAAACAATAGCAGGCAGGAGCTTTATTGGGCTACTCCACAGAAAACCGTGCGTTCCAAGCATCTTTTTAAAATAATTGGATGTCCCCATATCCTGTGTACAGGGAAAGTCTTGATTGGTAGGGGCTGTCTTCAGGGCATTAGAATATGCTGACTAATATCTTTTAGTCAGAAGTTTTTGTTCATACCTTATAGGGCTTTTACATGTAAAATATGCCTAAGCTTGTCTGGGCTTGTCTAAAGAAGCTAGCCAAGATGGAGTCAGAGCATTCTGGCTCTTCATTCCCCCTAGAGTTATGGTAAGGGTTAAATCTTTAAGCCAAGCAAATCACAGAAGTGGAAAGAAGCAGTTAGATGGCACATTTAGGGCAGTGGAACTATTTTTATATTGTCATAAGGCTCAGGGTCTCAATTTAAATGAGTATACTGCAAACACCTAAAGTTATGGGAAGGGTTAAATCTTTAAGCCAAGCAAATCACAGAAGTGGAAAGAAGCAGTTAGATGCCACATTTAGGGCAGTGGAACTATTTTTATATTGTCGTAAGGCTCAGGGTCTCAATTTAAATGAGTATACTGCGAACAGCAGTACCATCAGTTGGACTGTCTGTATCCATTCTTGGATGAATTTGAGCAAGGCATTAAGAACACAGGGACCACAGATGACTGCTAGTAGGAATAAGAGGAGAGGTCTGACTATCAAAGTTGAGCTCAAAGTTGTTACCCATGGGGACCAGTCAAATAGGGATTCATACCAATTTTGTTGATTTAGTCATTCATTTTCTCTTTCTTTGAGCTTTTACGGACCTCAGTGAAAGACTGTTTATAACTCTCAGGACCTCAAAGACTGTTTTATAACTCTTAAGTGATTAACATAGAAACAGCACTATTCCCCTAGGGCAAACACAGAGTCTTCATTTCTCTAGAAAAAGTAAATCCAGCCCTCTCCTATTTTGCAAGGTTACCTTAGCTAAAGAGGATAGTCTTGGGGTGGGGAACCAGCTGCACTAGTACACAAAAATCCCTGGTCTGGTTTAAAATGGAGGAGTGGAGGCATGTAGTTAAGCCAGAGGTACAGGCCCACCAAGTGGAGTTGGGGGGCACTATATATGGGTTAGGTACAGTAGCCCCTATCTCTTGAACAGAGTTATATAGATGTTGGTAAGAAGGGGGGACAATTTTATGTGAGGGAGTCACGCATAGCCCTTTTTTATATACTTGTGTAAGGGTAAGCCCCCTTCTCACTGTGGGGGAATTCTACAGGCAGTGGGGTCAGAAGTGACAACATAATTTCCTGCGGGAGCTAACCTATTATAAAAGGGAGGACTTGGGTCCATGCAAAACCAGCAATGGATAGTAAGATTAGGGGAGGTATTATTTAAAGCAATAAAGGTGGCATTTAGGAGGTTCGTAAGCCCAGGGGATGGCTGCAAGGGCTCTTGGGCCCATTGGACTTCTGGGGGTGTGGATCTAGGTGTGAGCAAAGTAGCTGTTTTAGCCAGTTGGACAATTTGGCTAGGAGCTGGCCTTTTGACAGATTTAAAAATAGTTAAGGCTAGTGTTGGTCGTCCTATAGGCTGTAACAGTGTCTGAGCCAGCCCCATCTGGGTCTCCAAGATTGGACCCACCTGAAGACGGACTGAAAAATGTATTCCCGGATCAGTCTCTGTGGTGTATAACCTGAAGCCCCAAGTTTGCCCATCAATCCATTTTGTAGGTTTTTAAGTTCCTTTCCTTTTGGGGTGAAGCTCAAGGAGATAGGGTTGCATCTAGAGGAGGTACAGCGTCCTTTGAATTGTCTTGATCTGGAGTTTCACCAAAGGGTTAGGCCCGGGACTGCAGTTACCTGGATCAAGTCGGTAGTGACTGGGGCAGCCCAATTAATATATCCAGTAGACACACAGCTCCATGAAGCACAGAAATAGTCCCCTGCC